GGTGAGGTGGGGGGGTGTAAGGGGAGAAGGAGAAAGAATGAGGAGATGTGGTGAAAGAAAGCACAGTGAGTTGCTTTTGCTGTTAAAAAAGTCTACATCTGCATTTCCAGCTCCGAGAGTGAAAACTTATTATTTATTATCTGTTACTTCTGAGGTGCCAAAAGTGCCCATTGCTTAATATAGACACATGCAAAGTCTGGGGAATGGAAACAAAGCCGGTGTTCTTTAATTAGTTGATCTGCTCCTTTGCTCACTGGCTGCCCACCCTTTCCTCTGCCTAACACCACCTTCTTCACCCACAACTGCTTACTGCAGCCCTACCGTGTTTTCTTCCCCTCCTCAGTTTAGATGTCCACCTACTGCTCTTTGATGATCTTAAGGTGCTTTCCAACCATAACCATTCTATGATCCTATGATTGCTTTTCTGGCCTCCCTAAAGCCAACCAAAGCAAGCAGCTGGCCCTGGCCCTCAGACCTTCATCCTGGCAGTCTGCCCCACTCTCACCTGAGAGTGCACGGCCTTGTGCTGCTCCAGGCTGACTGCATGGCCAAAGGTCTTGCCACACATGTCACAGGCAAAGGGCCTCGTACCACTGTGTGAGCGGCGCACATGTACTTCAAGGCCATGTGGCGTGGAGAAGACCTGAGGGGAGAGAGCACACAGGGTCAGGCTTGCCAGGGAGAAGAGGTTGGGTAAGAGTCATAATCAGAGATGAAGAAAGGGATCCCTACCTTGCTGCACTTGACACACTTGTAAGAGCCAGTGCTGATGAGCAATGGGCGGCACAAGAGGTCCGACTCCACTTTGATGCCACCTGGGCCCTTCTCTTGCTGCAGCCCAGGCTGTGTTTCAGCATAGAGTCCAGGTGCTGCTGCCGGTGGCCGCTCAAACAGCCCCGGGCCCGGGGAGCTGAAGTCACCATAAAGTCCAAGAGAAGAGCTGCGCTCAGCACCATAGAGGGCAGGCTCAGAGCCTCGCTCGCAGAAGAGCCCCAGGGCTGAGGTTCGCTCCAGTGTTGGGCAGGGCCTGTAGCTTTGTACAAGATGCCTCAGTTCGGAGCCACCCAAGCTGTTCCACATGTATGGCTTGAAGGGCACCGAGAAGGGGGGTCCTTCATCTAGGGATGGACACACAGATTGCTCAGAGGCTGTGGAAACACAAGGGCATGGGAATTAGTGCACTTCACAATCCAGCCACTACCACAGGGCAGAACCATCTCAGCACTCAGACTTGTGCCCAGAGCCAGACCCTGTACTGCACATTGAGGCTGCCCTTTCACCTCTAATGGGCAGACATTCTATATTGCACAGCAGGGTCTGTGCATTCACTGCTACCTATTCACCTGCTGTCCCAGACAAATTACTTAAAGCAGCCACCAGTTTTGTCTACCTCCATCTCTGGGTGTGTATACATAGACTGATCTGACTGTTGAGACAACTCAATCTGCAACTTCACTTGATTTGATCTGCAGCCCCTCAAAAAAACATATCTACTTTGTCCCAAGATGGGCATCAAAGCTGACATATTAAAGCTCTGATGGAGATCTCACACACCCATATAGCAAATATGACATTATGGAGGTGCCCAAAGGAGCAAGCGTGCTGAGATTTACCTGTTCAACAAAACTAAAACCTGCTTGTTGTTCAATTTAATGCCGAAATTTAGTCTCTCAACTTCATGTCACAACCGTCCGTAACTATATGACAGCATAATTGAAATAAAGAACTGCTTCTGAGGTGCTTGAATGCCATGCCTCATTTTTTCAGAAAATGCAAAATCAGTCCTCATCTGAACCAAATTCATGGTTGTTTCAGATTGCTCTGTGTTTCTCCAAGTGAAGAAACTGAGCCCACCCAAAACATAGAGCTTCTTAAAAACATTGGTATAGGCTGCATTAAAAATTGAAGACACAGAAGGATTTTCCTAGCAGTCATAATAAAAGCAATCTTCCACCAGGACAAGCTCAGATGGCTTCAGTTGGCTCTAACAGGCTCACCTCTGGCAACAGCATCTGACCAGTGGACACCACAAGAGGAGTCACACAGGTGGGGCCATAGTGGAGTCTGATGAAATGGCAGGAACACAGCCTTTGAGATCAGTGGCTAAAGGCTATAGAGGTAAACAGCAAAAACTCCAAGTGTAACAGCTACTGTAACGTCTTTATGTTGCAGCAGGGCTATCATTTCAAAAAAAGACTCTTTTTTTCCTTACTCTGACTGTAAACTGCACCAAGCTGGTGAGCTGAAAATTACTCCCAGTTTTCTCCTTAGAAGAAACTTCTTGCCCTCTTCTCCTGGTTTTTGGTGAGAAGCACTGTGCTCCTCACAGTCTGGTAAAACTGACTCTGCTATGAGGACCAGGACTTACATTGGAAACTTTACAGCTTTGGTGGGTAATGGATGGAGGCACCAGCTCGCCAGTGTGCTGGGTGAGAGGCAGCCCCCCATGCAATCCCACTGCTTCTAGTTCTTCAGGCAAGGTTAAGTACATGTAAATTAAAACCGCAAGCTATTTTTGTATAAAGTTGGTATTACTAATTTGTTAACTATGACAATTTCACACAGAAAACCTTTTGTTGGAAACTGAGTTTCTCATGTAATAATTAGCTGTGGAATATTACCCCAAACAGGTGTCTGTAGCCTGTCAAAGTCAGAACAGGTGATTTAGAATTAGTGTATTAAAAGAACTGTGAATTAGCGAAGCAAAAACGTGTCAGGGAGCCTTGCATAGAGGAAAACACAGTTGGGCAGGGAACATCAGGTACCAGACCCCAACTGTGTCTTCCAAAGATGCTGTTTAATGCCTGAGGTGCTCTTCATTCACTCGTCATCACAAGAGGCAGCAGCACTGGGAGAATCAAATATCTCCATTGGGCAAAAGTTTTAGTGAACCAAGGAAATCTGGTAACTGCCGAAGTGCCAGTGTCTTCACAGAGCCCTTGCAACTTGGGCTTCCAGCATAACCTTCTTTACCCAAAAACTTGTCCACCCAAAATTCCTCTCTTGCTTTTTATCATTCCTGCCAGCTTTACAGTTCCTATGACTTTCTCATCCTTCAGCAAGCCAAGATAACCAGAGGTGGGCTAGGGAAGGAAGGCATGACGTGTTAGGCTATCCATTTGGATAGGCAGGTGGTTACTGGGGGTTACAGAAGGGAGTGGGAAAGGAGGTGTAAATAGAGCTGTAACTTGACTGTTTCCTATCTTTTACTTGATTTCAGACGTCAACAGTCTCAAATTCTTCCACTGAAATCAGCAGTCTTTTTCTTGGAAGTATATGCACACACACCAACGGGGACATCTGAACAGAGCGATGAAATCAAATTAGCTGACATGGTGCTGAGCATGATTTTTCCTGTTCTGCACTGACTGCAAAGATGCGGTCAGCGTCACATCATCTATCTTGTGTCTTTGCAACCAGTTTCAGTGTTGCCATCTCTCACGATTTTATCACAAGATTCTAAATTATCTTAAGGCCCCAGCTCTTGAAACTGCATGATTTCATCAGGCCCTCAGCTTTCCTTTTATTTGCTTGTTGTTAACTTTTTTTTCCTTCTAGCCCAGACTGTAAAGAAAAGCATGAATACATAAGCCCTCAATGTTTCAACGCTAGAACTGAATATCCATAAGGTATTACTTACAATCTTGATTTCTAAGCCATTCCATTGAGTGGGAGGAGAGGGGAGGCTGACCTGATTTTTGAGCCCTTGGAATTGGCAACCCAGGACACAGTAAACACTGCACCACAGATCAGTTTGCGTGCAATGTTCCTTCCATCACCTCACATGCTTTGGAGACATCTCAAGCACAAGTGCACACTATACTTCTCAGGGTCAAGCTCAAGCCATTCAAGCTCTGTGCCCAGGGTCAAGGTGACCTGCAAATCCTGCTCTGCCACACTATAGGGCACTTCTGTGTCTGCCACTCCTCCACTCCATAGCATCTAAGCCTCCAAGGGGTGAGCAGGAGGCAGAGATAGATTGTTCTGCTTCTTCCTAGCAATTCTGAGCAACCTTTATATAGACCACTTCTGGGACAAAAAAATACCAATGCTCTTTTTTGAAGGCAAGGCAAACTCAACCTGAAATGCTTGGGAACAGATTGATATAAACAGCAAAGAAAGATCAGAGTGTCCTCCACAGACTGCAAAATAGCACACTCGCTCTCTCTGCTACACCCAGTAAAAGTCTCCCTCCAAGGCTGCAGCATCAACAGGCTAATAAGGACATACTAATATACTGGTGCACTGAGCTGTCAGGAACCTTCAAAAATAAACAAACTGATGTGATTACAGACACACATAGAAAGAGAGGTTAAACAACAAAGTGATTTGCACTGATGGAGCCAACAACATATTAAGAGTGTTAACAGGTATTATGTCTGTGCATGTTCATTTGGATAGGCAGCACAGCACCCAAAGACAAAGCTGAAATCTGGCTTTCACTGCCTACTGAAGTGCAATCTGTGCCTATGTTCGTTCTATGGATACAGGGGTGATAGTACTACTCACTGCACCTGCCCTGAGCATGATAAAGAACCATCATTCCTCATCTGCCCTGCCTGTCAAAGCACAGAAACTTTATTAATTTAATAGAGGTTAATTTAGTAGAGCTCTTTCTTTACAGTACTTGGAGTCTCTTACCCTCCTGTTCCTCCTGTGAATGGGATCAGGCAGTCCCAGGGCCCCCAACACCTCTGAAAAATCTTGATGTGGGGATGTCACCCTCATTTTGCAAAGATACCTTCCCTGGGTAGCTGGGTGGTGGGCTGGGAGCTGATGAATCCCACCACTGGGGAAGAAATGAATGAGGAGGAGGAAAAGGCTGAGCACCGCTGGAAAATACCTGCTCCATTTTACATCTGTCCTTTAGACACCTTGTGAAAACAGTGTGTTTTCCATGTAGAGGCTGGAATTACTTGGGGAAGGAGGAGGAGGAAAAATTCGTTTTAACAAAAATTACACACATTGTTACATTTTGTGAAGTATTAACAAAAGAGAGTCTGCTGCATTTGGTCCACTGTGTCATTTGCACAGACTGGAAATGTCCTGTGGCTGGCTGTGATGATACCGGGCAGTGTTTAGAATGTCCCCTCGAAGGGCTTTAGGACTCTTAAAAGAGGGGGAGGCTTTAAAAATGCAAACCCACATCATTACAATCAGCCGTTGATATGCAAGAACACTATAAAGACTAAGTGGGAAAATCAGTAGGGAAACAGGACTAAACAGGACTAAATATTCGTTTGCTGGTGTCTGCTGTCGGTAAAGCTGAGACAATTTTTCCTTTGCTAAGACAGAAATTATTCTTTTTTTTTTCCAGCTGACACTTTTTAACCGAGGCAATAAAAGGTGGGTTTTATATATATACGTATTTTTGTTATAAAATGACGCCATTGTATTTTTAAACGAGATAAGTATTCACGCCAGGCTGGGGACAGCATCTCCCACTGCTCCAACCACATCAAAGGCAGGACGAGGGAGCCAGAGACAGGCGCAGCAGCCATAAGTGTGAGTTTCCTGGATTTGGGATGTTTAAATCTGACCGTCATTATTTTCTTCTGGTATTTACCAACGCGTTTTTAGAAAAGAAAAAGAAAGCGGGGGGGGAGAGGAAAAGGAAAATTAAAAAAAAAAAAAAAAAAAAAAAAAAGAGCGAAAGGAGAGGAGG